TAAAATTAAAATTAGGGTTTCAGAAAATGTCCTTAATGAACTCTTCAAATTTTGGTACAAGCATACGATGTATTTTTTAGGTCCTGTGCCTACTGGAAAATGATCCTTTTAATTTTATTTTTATCTTCTTTTATTCTTGCTTGATTTTAAACCATATTTGTCAGTCTGTATTTTTACTTTACAAACATATTTACGGATGGTAATTAATAAAGTTATAATAATAAATATTAGACTTTAGTTTTGATAAAAAATATAACTAAACTAAAAGATAAAATTGCCTTATAACCATAATGAGATATTCTCAATTTTGAGTTCGAATAATAATATATGTGTATATTACTTAAATAATATCGCGGAAATATGCTCTCATCCAAAAGATGTTATTATTCAAGGATTTTTGCAACTTAGAGAAGTTGATATTTTTAATCTTAGAGTAACACTATTTACCGAAATTATAGAAAATTTTGATATGGATCAATTGTCTTCTATCAATATTACTCTTGACGCTGAAGATCCTGTAAGAAAAAACCTTAGAAAGCGTTATAAAATTGCAACATATCTAGATGACATATATTTGATGTTGATATCATTAACAGAAAAACAGCTTCACAAAGATTTTGGTAAATTGGTATCTGGTTGCAAGCAAAATAGTCAACAATTACATGATGTAAGTCTGTTGTCGACCTTAAAAGAACTCGTCGATTGCGTTAAAACAATAAAATTAGAAAACAAGAAAATTAGTGACGACCTACATTTATTACAAGGAAAATATGATGAATTGTAGCAAACGTGCAAAAAAATCGAAAAAAATCAAAACACGTTGCTTTCAAACAGCTGTAGTAATTTATCATTTCAAAAACCGCTAAATACTAAAAAATCTTTTGTCTCTGATTCAATAGAAAATCATTCCTCAAATAATGAAAATACTTTAAATAATATACCTTTACATTTCCTTCATGATGAGACTACCATTATGGAGTCCAGTTTAAAAACATACGAAAACGGAAACCAAAATAGAGTCACCTATGCTAAAAAGGTTCAAATGCAGCCACCAATTATTGAAAAAAGAAAGGAATGGAAAAAAGATGATTGTTCCTATATGGTAGTCAAAAAAAACAATGCAACAAATAAAGTCCCAACAGAAAGGTCTATAATGAAGCCTATTTTCGGAAAAAAAGTTGCATTTAACAGAAACTCTATTGCAGGCGAACGTACGGTGCGAGAATCTTATATCTTTGTAGGAGGGGTCTGTAACTCAAGGTCTGTAACTCAATGTCGAAGATCTATCTAACCAAATCAAAAATGAAATAGGTTTTGAGCCTATTAAGGTAGAGCTTAACCGGGAAAATAAATACAATCGTTCATTCAAAGTTATCATAAAAAGTTATGAAAAAGACATAATCCTAAACCCTGATATTTGGGATACTAATATTATCGTTAAACCATTCAGGCTTCATCGTGTTACCTCAAGAAACGAAACACCACAGCAGAGTGCAGTTAATACGCTACACTCTGTACAACCAACTCAACAAATATTTTCTACATCTAAAGAACAACCATCCTTTGCACAGCAACATTCTTACTCAACTCGAATACTAAATTCTAATTCAAAATGGATAGAAACATAGAAAGTAAAACCTTTGAAAATATTTCTTTTTGTGCATATAACTGCCAAAGTTTTAAATCGAACTCAATTTATATTTCCGAACTGGTCAAATCATTTGATATTATTTTTCTATCGGAACATTGGCTTTTGAATATTGAACTTTTTGTGCTAAAAAACATAGCATTGCCGGACCGATAAAGTATTTTTTCATGCGGCAGAAAAAAAAGCATTTGGAAGACCATTTGGAGGAAACGCATTCATTATTAAAAAAGATGTTTTACTGTCTCCTCACATAATCTATGAAGATGACAATATTCTCGCTATTAAAGGTAAAAATAAGTGTCACAATCTAGTCTTTATTGGTATTTATCTCACATCATGTCGAAATAACGAGGAATCCCTTTCAAAGTACGAACAACAATTAAACCTAATCACTTCAATTGTAAAAAACTACGAAGATGTAAGTGAATGTATTATTGCTGGAGATTTTCAGTCTTATCCCGAAACACTCTACGATTCTGAGATCCGTAATAATAAAAAACGCAATAAATTCTCTAATCATCTAACTAATTTCATTAAATCAAATAAGCTCTCATTTATCGATATAATCCGTGGCGCTGGTCCAACATACACCTATCAGTATAAAACTCTATCTAACTCATCGTATATCGATCACATCGCAGCTCTAAAAGAGTTATCCTTATTATTTATAAATACAAGCGTTATTCCTCCTTCTCCTTTTAATTTTAGTGATCACTTACCAATCGCTACAAATATCGTCGTTACACATACTAATCTATCAACCGTAATAAATAGCATAATGCATAAATATAATTATATTCCAAAATATGCATGGAATAACGAAAAATTCATTGACATATATAATCATAACCTCTCCGTAGCTTTCAACTACTACACCTTCAATGAAGAAGAAATCGAACAAGAATTAAAACAAACATGCGAAAAAATGCTTTAAACAACAAATCTGTAAGTATTCCAAATCATGGTGGACAACGGACCTTAAAAAATGCAAAGAAAATCTTTCATTTAACTATAAACAATGGCAAAAATCTAATTATAATAAAACACAAGAATGCATTGAATACAAAAGATACATCTTTTCACGCAAAAACTTCCGTAAAGCAGTTAAAGTAGCTCATAACAAAAAGATCCACGAAAAAACTATAAATATTGAAAATCTTCGAACCACTAATCCTCAGAGGTTCTGGGATAACATCCGTAAAATCAAAACTAAAGCAACAACTCGATTATTTACAATTAACAAATCGCAAAATATAAAAGATATCGTTCAAGAATTTAGACAATATTTTCAAACTCTTCTCAATACGCCTTTTATTTTAAATAATAACCATAATCCTTCTCAAATTCCATCTCTAAGTAAAGAGCCTAATTCACTAATCATAACATCAGCTGATATTATAAATTGCATCTCACAATTAAATAGTAATAAGTCCGCAGATAGCTATGGGTTAAGTGCTGAACACCTTAAAAACTCTCATAATAATAATCTTCTTTTGTGGCTCGCTAAATTTTATAACAGTATTCTATCGAATGGAAAAGTACCAAATGATCTATCAACTTCAACAATTATTCCACTTGTTAAGTCATATAAAAAATCTCTTAATAATCCAGATAATTATCAAGGAATTAGTATTTTACCTATCTTTACTAAACTTCTAGAGTATCTAATACTACAAATATGTCCTAGTATAACTGATAGCCATTCCCATCATATTGGTTTTAAAAAAAACAGTTCTACTCTCCACGCAGAATTTTTACTGAGCGAAACTGTTATGCACTATAAAAACAATAACACGCCTTTATATATGTGCAGTTTAGATGCTAATAAAGCTTTTGACACTTGCAACTGGGATTTGCTATTTGAGAAGCTGTATTTCCAAAAAAAACTTCCGTTGTCTGTAGTACACACAATATCATCCCTTTATCATTCTGGTTCTGCAAACATATCCTATCAAGGTGTTACCTCAAATCAATTCAGTCTATCACAAGGGGTGCGACAAGGGTCTATTCTATCGCCACACTTATATAACATTTATACTGAAAGCATCCTAAATGAAATTGTCTCAAAAAGTAAAGTAGGATCGACAATAAATGGAATTTATACTGGTGTAATTGCATACGCAGATGATGTAATTTTGCTAAGCCCCACAATCTCTGGTCTGCAGGAACTGATCAACAGATATCAAACATATGGAGTAGCAAACTTTATCAAGCTAAACACTGAGAAAACAGAATTTCTGATTTCTGGAAAAAGTTATATTCCTAACAACGTTGTTAAAATTAATGGAGTCTCTATATATCTTCAAAATAAATTAAAACATCTGGGTTTTCAATGGGATAACGATACCAGCAAAAATAAAATTGCAACACTCCGAAAGAAAAATTTAAATGAGCGTATAACTCAGTTTCAATTAGTTGCAAAAGCTCTAATCGACAGTGGGATTCGTTACTGCCAGCCATCAACAATTGTTCATCTGTACAATACATTAACAGTGCCGAAGCTTATATATGGTCTTGAACTATGTAAATATGATACTAATTTTCTCAGCAAAATAGACGCTGTTGGAAGAGCAGTCTTAAAATCATTTTTCTGTATTTCGAAGTACAGTAAAAATTACCTTCATTCTTTTTTTAAAATAGAAGATATCTCAACTATTCTCCTTAGGAACAAAGTTAATCTTTTTATCAGGCTGCTAAAAAATCAAACTTGTTACTCACTGATAATTAATCAAATACAGGAAACACAGAATAAAAAATCCTTTACAAACGAAGTATTTGATGCATGCAACACACTTGATTTAAATTTCATACAGTGCATGTTAAATGGCAAAAAAAAAAAAATTGACGCAACCCATCGTAGAGCTACAAACTAATATTATGCTAATATTGAAAGAAACGTTCCAGCTTTGGAATTTAAAAGAAAAGAGAGAGGCGTTTAAAATCTTTATGGAGGAGAATGTTCCTAGAACTCTGTCCCAATAATATGTGGAAAACAAACCGGCTGTTTATAAGCATTTATTGCTAACAACTACAATAGCCGTGTTGTTTTAGCTGATTTTTAATTTATTGTTTGACTATTTTACCTGTAATTTACTATCGGGTGATAAAGAGAAAATATAATAATAATCGTCAATTAGTCGAAACGCGAATTAATGGTTATAAAAAGTCGATCTAAAAGGCCACGTGATATGAACAGTACATAATAAATATAAATGAAAAAATACAAATATATAAATAAAGATATACATTTTAATGAAAAATACAAATATAGATAATAAATATGAGTTATGTACTGAATAATTAATTTTTTTTTAATATTCCGTTATTTGAAACTGGGGTTTTTCAAAAAATTATTACTGTTGGTTAGCCAGAAAATATATACAATGGGTAGATATATACTATAAGACCAGAGTTAAAAAAATGTTTGTACTTATACAGCTATAAGGACTACTAGTTGCATAATTCTACCATCTACACACAAAGGTCTGCAAACAAACGCTCAGTATTTACTGTTCTCTAATTGAATTTGGTGCATGAAAGCATGCTGAAAGGCGATAGTTTGAAACAAATTCAATTACAGATTTGAATAGAATAGAGTAGAACGTAAGATAATTTCATTACTCAATTATTATTTTAAAAAATTTAATTATAGAAAAAAAAAATTAACAAAAAAAAATCTACCCATTATCTATCTATTTATAAATTTGTTTGTACCAAAATTATTTTAATTTATTATTGCTTTAAAAGGTATATAATTGAATAATTTTATATTATTGAATAAGGTTGTACTTTTATTATTTATTTTATTTTAGTTTGATTAAATGGATGAACGCAATTTGAAATTAAATGTTTTTTCAAATACTTTTACTTCAAGGAATTTTGTTGAAAGGTAGGTGTAATTAAAAGATACAAAATTTGTAAGCAATGTTTTTAGTTTTTATATTTTTATTTTATATTATATGGTATATTAAAGTTTATTAAAAACATTTGATTTAAAAATTTTCTGTACCTATTTTGGCTATAACACAGTCAGTTAAAGTATATGTAATGTGTGAACAAAATTTGTTCAAAATAGGTCAAAGAGAATATAAAAAACAATGGGGACCATATAATTAATTAATTTAGGGATATTTTAAGAAATAAGAACAAGCAATTAATACCTCAAAATTGTATGCCGATGATAACCAACTTACACACACACACACACAATTGCACAAACAAATACAAACAAACAAACACTTTAATCCAAACCCATGGCTGATTGTAGCAACAACTCCTTGCATGTTCTCCCTATGTTATGTATATAATTCTCTTATGGTATCAAATCGAACTTATTAAATTGGATTAAATTGTTTCTATCTGAAAGACAACAAAGAGTAGTCCTGGGTGGCATAACTTCATTATGAGGTATTCCATGAGAAAGTGGGACAGGTATGTAACCCACAATCTCAGATTTTCTTCATACTTTGTAAAAATGGTCATCTATATAAAATAGACTACCTTGCAAAATTTTAGCGCTGATATCAAAGGGGTTTTGGAGTTATTGTTACTTTAAAATCAGCTATTTTTAGCAGTTTTTTCTGTTTGGCGGCCATTTTGATTTTACAATAGTTTTTGTTTTACAAGTTACTGTTTAACTAAACATGTAATTAAGCTGAAAATTAGCACCTATATAGTTTTTAGGACGAGGATACAGAATATAATGTTTGTTTTTAATGAGAATATTTAGAACTATATCAATATTGCGATTGTACTTCACCTACAGATATTTTTGAAATTTTACCAAAGGCAAAAAGGAGGTCTGGTAACTATGGTAGCATTATTTTTTTGTGATTTTTTTTTTGTTTTTATTAAAATAGATATTCTAATGAGTTTTTTGGTGCAAAATTTAGAGGTTGGTTTTTTGAAATTTTTTCTAATAATATAGAAGTATTATGTGAAAAAATAAGTATTATAGGTCTGTGTTCATAATTTTATTTTAAATTAATTGACATTTACAATTTTCATTAGTTATCAAAAATATTATACAAAAGAAATGCTTTTAACCTATTATTTAAAGAAACTTTAATTCGAATGAATATTTCTTTTTTAAATAAATTTTTGCTTTCTAATTAATGACATATTATGTCATCTTTGACTAAAACAGAAGAAAAACTCAATATTTAAAACCCTAAGACTTAGTCTGATTAGTCTGATGTTTTACCAGCTGTTGTTTGTTCTCAATAGCTAATCATTAATTTAAAAAAAAGTATAAAATCAAAGTTAAAAAAGTAAATACATAAAATGCTATATATTGTACATATTTAAAAATGCTAATTATAAATGGTAAATATTTTTTCCATTTTTTATAAATGTATTAAAATGTATTAAATATGTCTGTGTATTTTGTGTTTATTTATAGCTTAATTAAATATTGAAAAAAATAAAATGAACAAGATTTTATGTACAGTTGGTATTTTATCAAATGATCAATGCCATAAAATGGTCCACTAAATTAATTGGATTGAAAGATTTATCAAGCTATTCAGAGAAAAATAGAAATTTATTATTATGGAGATTGGGCTAAGAATATTAAACGCTAATGTTAAAATCTGTTTACATCATAAACAAATTTTAATTAACCGGTTTGCCAACTCCCAAAAAATTGCATTGATCCATTTAAAAAGCATAAAACTAATATAAATGGTAAATTTTTACGTTTTTAACTTATTGTGCTGTCTTTTTACAAAAAAAACATCTAGTACACTTTCAATTAGCTTAAAAAATTTTAATTTTTTTATTTTATTCCTAACATTATTATATTATCTAAATTAGTATTTCCTAATTTTGGCAAATTTTATTCATTTATAATATATTTATAGGTGGTTTGCGAGAAATTGATATTCAACTGGCAAAAGATATATGTTCAATTGGTATTAAAACAACACCTGGTTTTAAGATATGTCCTTCATATCGAAAAGAAGTGGTAAAAAAAATAAATAATTGGTCTACCTTACAGGACCACAATGGTGAAGATGATTTCCAGCATTGTTAGAATTGAATCAGATATTATTAATAAGGTGGAAAGCTTCTATCGTAATGATCAGTTTAGTAGACAGTTGCCAGGTATAAAAGATTTTGAAAGTGTATCCAAAAATAAACATGTATCAAAGCGATTACTTCTTTGCAATTTAAAGGAATTATTTATTGAATTCAAACTAGAACACCCTCAATCAAAAAATAGGATTTTCTAAATTTGCTCAGTTAAAGCCAAAATGGTGTATTTATGCTGGTCAAAAAAGAACCCATGCTGTTTGTATATGTGCAAAATACCAAAACCTAAAGCTTATGCTTTGCACAGTTAAACTGGAGAAGAATTACCATGAACTTATTGAGAAGATTGTTTGTAGCAGAGAGTCAAGGGAATGTATGGCCCATAGATGTAATCAATGTCCTGGAATTCAAAATATTATAAATTATATGACTGCAAATCTATTGCAAAATGAAGGATCATTTGAAGAGAATGACAAAGTGGATGAAGATGAAACAATTGAATACAAACATTGGAGTACAACAGATAGAGCAGAGCTTCTAAGTAACACATCTACAATAAGTCAATTCATTGAATGTCTTAGTGGAAAACTTGATAGCATAACATCTCACTCTTATATTGCTAAAGCACAAAGTAAATATTTAAATACATTAAAGTCATCTATACCCATAAATGAAATTATTATTTTAGTTGATTTTGCAGAAAACTTTAAATTTATCATACAAGACGAAATCCAGAGTTACCACTGGAACCAACAGCAATGCACACTACATCCTGTAGTTATTTATAACAAAAATGATGAGGGTTCTACTAAAAGTCAACCAACATCTCTATGTTTTATATCTGATGACTTAACACACGATGTTGGGTTTATTTATTGTATAGTAAAAAGAACTGTCCAATTTGTACAAGAAATGTTTCCCAATACCATAAAAATCCACTATTTCTCTGATAGTTGTGCTGGTCAGTACAAAAATTGTAAACATTTATTAAATTTATGCCATCATGTTGAAGATTTTGGGATGCAATGTGAATGGAATTTCTTTGCAACATCACATGGAAAGTCACCATGTGATGGCATTGGTGGAACAGTTAAAAGACTTGTTTCAAATGCTAGTCTTCAACGTTCAATTGACTTACAAATTCAGAGCGCTAAAGAAATGTTTAATTTTTCAAAAGATAACATATTGGGCATCCACTTCTTTTTTTTAAAAGGCAAAGATGTTTTATCAGTCCGTAAATCTCTGACTCTCCAATTGAATAGTGCAAAGACTTTATCTGGTACAAGAAGTTTCCACCAATTTATTCCACAGGATGCAACAAGCATAAATGTCAAAAGAGTCTCTGAGCAGGAGGAATTTAATCTAACATTCAATCTTACTGGCTCAATTCAATATCTTACTGGCAAAACCTTACTGGCTCAATTCAATATCTTCAAGAAATCATTGTAGGAAAATATTATATCTACAAATATGATATGTTTAACTGGGTTGGTTTGGTATTTGAAGTTGATGAAAGAAATGAAGATGCCCTTGTAAAATTCATGCATCCTCATTTACCCAACACTTTATTACACTGGCCAAATAAAGATGATTGTTGTTGGATTCCTAAGCCCCATATTTTAATTATGATAAAAAAATCATCATCTTCAAGATCAGGGTACATATACCAGATAGACACAGATGATTTGCATAAAATCCAATTTTTAAATTAACTCAATCATATTACACCAGTTTTCTTTTAGAAGCAATTTATGAATTATTCAGATACAAGTTCTGGTTTTTATTGACTAGTTTTTTTATTTAAAACTTGTATTTGTTTGATTATTTTGACTTAATATATTACATCTATTATGAATTTTTCATTTTAACTTTTGTTAATGGTTTTTTTTTCTTATAATGGAAGTTTTCAAAATAAGAAATTTCTTAATAAGTAACATCCAAACGTACTTTTTCATTATAATTCATTTAATTATTTTTAAAAATCCTCAAAAAAACCCACCTCTCAATTTTGTACCAAAACACTCTTTAATATATCTAATTTAATAAAAACAAAAAAAAAATTTTAAAAAGTTAGTGCTACCATGGTTACCAGACCTCTTTTCCGCTTTTGTTAAAATTTCAAAAATAGCTATAGGTGAAGTACAATCTTAATATTAATAAACTTCAAATTATTTTTATTAAAAACAAATATTATATTCCGATTCCTCGTCCTAAAAACTATATAGATGCTAATTTTCAGCTTAATTACATGTTTAGTTAAACAGTATCTTGTAAAACAAAAACTATAGTAAAATCAAAATGGCCGCCGAACAAAAAAAACTGCTAAAAATAGCTGATTTTAAAGTAACAGTATCTCCAAAACCCCATTGATATTAGTGCTAAAATTTTGCAAGTTAGTCTATGTTATATAGGTGACCATTTTTACAAAGTATAAAGGAAATCTGAGATGGTGGGTTACAAACCTTAAAAATTTGTCTCACTTTCTCATGGAATACCTCTTATGGCAAAATGTTGTGAGTGGAGTAGGTTAAGGATTGGTGTTAGGTCCATTATTATTTTTGATTTTCATAAACAATTCACCAGAACAAGCATTTAATACCTTAAAATTGTATGCCGATGATAACAAACTTATTGCATCGGTTAATTCATTAATAGATCGTGATGTTATGCAAAATGATATTGTTAAGTTAGTAAAATAGGCATACAAATGGGACATGGATTTCAATATTGAAAAATGTAAGGTAATGCAATTTGGTATAAACAATCAAAACTTTGATTATTACATGACTGATAATGATATTAGGATCAAGGTATTAACAACAAACATTGAAAGAGATTTAGGAGTTTTGATATCAGACAATTTAAAGTGGACAGTGCAAGTCAGAGCGACAGCTTCAAGAGCAAATAGTAAATTATTATTGACATATTATTGGACAGGTATTATTGGACATATTATTTGACAGGTATTATTGACAAAGCGTTTAATTGTAAAACTTGTGACTCTTTCAAGAAGCTATTTTGTGCGTATGTGAAACAACATTTAGAATTTGCTGTTCATGTATGGAATCCGTTCTTAAAGAATGACATTGATATACTTGAAAATGTGCAAAGACGTGCAACCAAGATGATACCTGAAATTAAACACTTTTTATGCGAAGAAAGGTTAATTAAACTGAATTTGATAACACTAACAGAAAGAAGAAGGCATGGTGAATTAATTCAATTCTATAAATATTTCCATCATACTGAAGATATCTCATAGCACAATCCGCCTAAATTTTGTGAATTGTGATTGTTGTCTGGACCAGCTGCTAATACAATATGTAATCAATTTAAACACAGTTTATGCACTCAACAGGTCAAAAGACAAATTTGAAAACATTTCTTCACAAACCAAATTGTAACATGGAATATTTTACCACAGTCAACCATTGAAGCATTAACGGTGAACAATTTCAAGAGCAAAATAGATAAATTATCTAGTAATACAAATACTAACTAAACTTCTAGAAACAACATAAATAACTATTATTTATTGTTTATATTGTTAATTATAAAATTATTATTGTTAAAGGCTGTCATAGGTTTAACATGGCATTAAGTCTCAACACCAATAATTATTATTATTATAAAACTTAAAAAAAAAAAACGCAGCAAAATACCTATTTGTAGTAGTAGTTTAGAAACTAGTACTAGTAGAAGAAAAAGTAATATCTTTTTATATAATTTTTTTTTTTTTTTTTTTTGTGCATAATTTTGTTGTTTATATTTTAAAACCTTTCTGTATTTTACACATTAGGACCAGATGTATTTTTATAATATTTTCACTATTAGAGCAAGCAACCTGTAAAAATTTTTTATCAGAAAACTATAATTAATTGATTAATTCTAATTTAAAAATGTCTTAATAATATTGTTATTTATACTTAATCATTTTTCAAAATTACCTGTAATTTTTGTGCCTATAATAATTTTTTTTAACTGATTATAATAATTTTTTAATCCAATAATTTTTTTCTATTATCCAAAAAATATCCCTATTACACATTATTTTTGAATTAATTATTCTTACGTGAACTTGTTATAATTAATATTTAAAAAAACTTTAATTACTTAAAAGTTATAGGTGCATGGTAATTAAAATAAAATTAGTCCCAGGTCCAAACAAATAATAGATATTTACTTGTTCTATATTTTATTTACTAGATGTGGTTATGGTTGCTCCACCAAGTCTATTTGATACTTTCAAATCGTATTTCTCTGCTGATTTAAATAAACAAATTTCTACAAAAGGGAATATTGATCCTGATTTTCAAAACTCAGACTCAGATTCTGATTGGTTAATAAACAATTATGCTAACTTTTTTAAAAGTGATGTAAATCAAAAAGGCAATCAAGCCAGTATAAATAAGATAAGTGAAATCCAAAAATATGGTACAACACGGCATATAAAAGAGATTTTTTTAGGGAGATGTTATGAATATCAATACAAAAATGGTGTCTTAGAAGAAAATGAATGGAACTGTGAAAATTTGTGGAACCTTTTTTTTAAAGCATTTGGATTTAAAAAACCATGTGATGTTACATCAGCAGATTATAAAGAGCTCTTGGATAATATTGATGAAAGGATACCCAGAGACAAAGTAAGCAATAAAAACTACTTTCATTTAAGTGTGAAAAAATTGAATATCAAATTAAGGCAAATTAGATTTAAAATTTTGAATTTTGAAATGTTTGCACTGGTTTCAATAATTGAAATTAGTGAAAACATATCATATTTTAATGATTTTCAAAAATCCTATGGACTTGCAGCAAAAAAAAAAGACCCTAAAGGACTTACTAAAAAAATTTATACATTTGACAATTAAATGGGAGTTTGTGATCCTAAAATTATGATTTTTAAGTATTAAAAAAAATTCCTTTTAAAATTAAATAGCTTTTTTCAATTAAAACATTTTATCATTAGAACTATTTAATTTAAATTTAATTATTGCTTGTTTTGTCGACTATTGTATTATTTAATTGTTATATAACCATAGAATTGAAACATCGCCTTAAGTTGAAATCTCAATTTTGTTATTTGACCTTTTTATATGGTCAAAATATCTTCCAATGGATTAAAAATGGTTTAAAAAGTTTTTTATCTATCTTTGTAATAACAAAAAAAAAAGTCTATTTTTAATTAATTATTAAAAAAATTTATACTATTTGAATACATAAAGATATAGTTTCCCAAATAAAAGAAATTTCCTGTTTGACTAATTAAAGTTTTGTTTTTTAATCAAAATTTCAAGTTAACATGTAAAAAGTTATTTAAAAAGGTGATTTCAAAGCAGGAAAGTTAATTGAAACAACGAAAGAAAAAGAAAATTAGTTTTTTAAATGTTTAATATAAACACAAATACTATTTTAAATGTTTTGTATGAGCAAAATTTATTTAATAGTAACATGTTCTTTTTTTCAAAAAAAAAGTTAAACACTTGAAGAATTTCTAGTTTTACAAATTATCAATATCAAAAAGTATTTATAATATCTGGATTATGTATTTAGTTACTTAATATTAAAAGAATATTTTTGAGCACAAAATACTGTTTTAGGCATTAACTGTTGAGTGATAAAAATTATCCATTAATTTTATATTTCAAGGTAAAATTTTCTGCATTTAAATTTATTCATTAATTTTTCTACGTTTAAAATTATCTATTAATTTTTCTATGTTTAAATTTGTCCATTAATTTTTCAACTTTTGTTTGAAATCTATTATTACATTTTTAATCTATATGCTGATAAAAACCAGCTCTTTTTATAATGCACAGTAATGCTATTTAGTTTACTCTAAGTTACATGTCGTTATAAAACATAGCGTTTATTTATTTATAGGGATACAAATTAAACATATGGTAAAATCCCACAAAAAAGGTCTTTTTAAAACATTCCTGCATAGGTTTTTTAGAGCCAGCGGCCCCTGGATGGAACAGATGTGAATTGTAAGTTGCACAGAACCATTAGCGCATCATAACCTAGCAAGCTAGCTTGCATTATTCTCTAATACAGTCATAAAAATGATGTACTGTGGTACCTATATTAGATGCTGATCTAGTTGTGTTTTTTTTAAACTATTAATAGTAGAGACGTTGACAGCCTCTTCTAGTAAAGTTTTTTAATTATTTGCAAGCCAATTGTTAAAAAAAAAAATTCAACTAGACAGTTTCTATAAATCCTGTAACATAAGCATTTGTAATGAACATAGATGGGAGTCAATATATCAGTTGACTATTTTACTTTTTTACAAATTTGAACTTTAGGATAAAACTACAAACCATACTTTTGTTACTTTTGTGAAGTTAGGCCAAGTTTAGAGTATCTTTTGTAGTCAAAATGCTTCAATTTTTAAGATATTCTTGTGACACATTGTTGTATACATTCAATTGCATTGATGTGTTTTTTAAGGTAAAGGTACAGGCAGTGATAGCATATTGCAGGTTTACATAATTTGTTTAGAGTTTTTTTTTACATTTTTTTATTCTTTGTTAACAAATCATTTTATTTAATTACTTAAAGCTTTGTTTGTTTTAGTTTGTTGCAGTGGTGAATGTTTGACTCTTATTCTTTAGGTCATAAAGTTAAACACCCAACTCTTTTTCAAGTTTTGTTTATTCTAGCTGGATTCTTTTGATCTTCTCTGTTGGAGTCAGTTTCATTGATGAAATAAAATAAAATGAAATAAAATGTAATATGATGTGATAGATTTGAGAGACAGATTAAGATTTGCTGATGTTTATAAACTTACATTTTTAGATGCTAAGTTGCATGAGCCATGCAGACCTAATTGACAATTATCAATGCAGACAAAGTTTCTTACTTCCTGAAGTATACTATAGAACTTTCTATATTTCTGAACTACATTAAGGATTTGCGCTATCTACATTTGTTTTGCAAATGTTTTTGCTGCTGATGTGCTGATAAGTAGTATTGGACCAAGGTATGAGTCTTACAAAATGTTGGTAGTAACTTGTTCCAAATTCAATCTTACTGATGAGGACGTATTAGGTTCTTTTTTGCTATCATTTTTTTAATGCTAATTTATCTCCCCGAGGCCGAGAAGACCATACAGTAGAGGAGGCTACTTTAATTGTAGTTACAACCCTCCTCTCAACTCTAAAACACAAACTTTAAAAACAAGGTTACTGCGTGGAGAAACAAGTTAAGTGCAGTAATGCCAGGGGCATGGTGGAGATTAAGTTCTGTTCTGTTGAAAAGAAGGGCATTAATCCAATTTTGTATAGTCTGTTAGGTACTTTTGTATTATCTGTGTGGATGAATTCTTTAGGGCTGTCCATAAATTACGTCAACAAAATAGGGGGAGGGGGTCTGAATTTTTTTTACATTTGTTTACAGGGGGAGGGAGGGGGAGGTCAAGACAAGTTGACATCAACAGTGTTACTTTTTTTCATAAATTTAGTTACTTAAAAAATTGGAAAATTAGGCAATGGTTGTAGTCCTGTGTTACATACTCCCCACACTTTCAGTATTTTAATAAAGCTATTTATTACTTATTACTTTTTAAAAACTGTTGTGCTTTAAAAAGACCCAACATGTACAGAACTAAATAAGCACACACAAGATGTTTACTTGTAACACTATTATTTTTTCAAAGTTGTTTTTGGTTAGTCTGCAGTGCAAAAAAAAAAAAGATTTAATGAAAGTTTTGGTCACTATATCATTTAAACAATTATACCAAGGGTTGGCAACCTGAGGTTGATGCGGCTCTTTAGCTCCATGCACAAATATTAATATAATATAAAAATAAAGACTTGGTAGATGATTTGAAAAAATATTTGAACTGTAAAATTGAATTATTTATAAAGTTAAAGTGAGGAGGATTGGCACATTGAAGTGTTGCATTAATTTGAAATATTTTTTAATTTAAACGTGTAAGGTGTATACATTTTTGTGAACACTTTAATCTTTATTTTTTTGTACGGAGTAAGTTTTGTAGTTATAAACTGGAAATATGTTCTTAAGTTAGAAGTTTAATAACTTTTTTTCTATACCTTTTACTTTTATTCATTTTTTTTTTTCAGAGCAAGCATTTGTAATTTTAAATGGTTCTCTAAATAGTTTATTCTCGATCTCTTTTTTGTTTTAGTTGTAAGCTATTCTATTCAAAATATAAGTGTTGTTTTTTTTACATTTGAATTTTTTTTTGGAAGGGGGGGGGGATTTGAATGTTAACGTAATTTTTTAAGGGGGTTTCTAGAAGTTTGACAACTTGTTAACAAGAAGGAGGGGGAGGTAAAAATGTCAAAATATTGTTGACGTAATTAATAGACATCCCCTTTATTAAGCACATCTGTTTTAAATTTTTTTTCTTAAACTTATTTTCTTGATTAATTTATAAATATTTGAATTTTGTTTTGGTTTTTTTCTTGAAACTCAAATTAACCAAGTTTTAAAGCTGCTGCCAAAACCTTAACTAATATTATATCTATCTGAAAGCTACTATAAGTTAAGTGTTAACATAAGCAAGTCAAATTTTAATTGTTTTTAATGTTTGATAACTGAAAGATGATCATTGACTAATCTTCTATATAATTCAAAGCATTTCATGATGAAATAGTTTAATTTGTTTTTATTTGTCAAAATCATTTATTTGTAAACAAGTTTCAACATAATTTATAAATAATATTGCATATATTAACTTCCCTGCAATTTTTGTAATTTTAATAGCAGTTGTATTAAAATACTTTGACTACAAACTTTCTCATTAAAAGTTTATATCTGATTTACAAGTTTATATCATATATAAGTTTAGGCCTTCATATGATTTGTAAAGTATAATGAGAGTACTTTTTCTTTAAATTTGAAAAATATTTGTTATAAATATTGTTTTATGTCATGATTTTATGAAAAACAAACTTAACACAATTATTAACTTTAAAAGTTAACTTATTTTTATGATTTTATGTTTAATAGATTTTAATGTTTTTAAATTCTAGGCTTTACTTTGGTCTGGAACAAGAGAATTAGCACATAAGTACTCTGACTTTCTTTACACAAAAAGGTTTACAACGTTAGAAGATACCTTAGCTGGGTAATACATTTTTTTAACATGTTCTTGTGCATGTTTATTATCAACCTAATATGTTTTTGTTGAATTTGTTTTTGTAAATAATATTTATAAGTAATATAAGTTCTTTCGGTTTTAATTTTTAAAAAGATTAAAACTGAAAGAAAAGCGTGTATACAATCTAATTTAACAAAAAATATGGACAAATTGTTATTAAATAACCCAATAATTAATACATTAATTAATGGCAATAATTCAAGATAGATGGTAATTTAATTGTCAAAATGTCATAATGCGCGTATAAATATAATATATATTTATATTTGGTATTTCCCAATTTGTGTCATATTTGGCATTTGTCTCTTAACATGAAAAATTAAAAATTTTTAAAAACACAATTGACAAATACAAATTTTCAAGCAATTTTCTCTTCCAATTCTCATTTATTCAAAGAAAAGTTACTAATAAATTTTTATTTCTCTCATCTAAATAAAGAATGAGTGATGCAAAAAAAATAATATTCTATACAACTCTTTCAATTCATTCAAAGTTTAATTACGCGAAACTTTTCTTTCTCTTTTGTTCTACTCTTTTATAAATAGAGTGCGCAATGAAATAAAAACTCTTTTTTTCTTTACATAAAATTAAACTTAAAGATAAAATTAAATTAGAAATAAATCAACAATGAGCAAAGCAACTGACAAATTAATCTGAGACTATTTTGTTATTAATGAAAATAATCAACATAAACAATATTACAGGCCTTGCAATAAAGCGTCGGGCGATGTGAATTTTACGTCGTCCAAGAGCGATTTTGCGTGTAGCTAGGGCTATTTGTGTCAAGCAAAAAAAATTTTGTTTGAGTATATTTAAAGATATTTTTGAGCGGAATTTTAATGAAGTAGTTTACGATTATTTTAACATTTATTAAAGTATTTTAAAAACCGCATGTTGATATAAAAGTTTGAATTACAAAAAAATTAAATATGCTCATTATTTACAAATAGAAAAAATTCAGATTAAAAAAAAAAATTAAATTTTCTTTTAAGCTAATATTTTAATAAAATTATTCAGCAATAGCAAAGTTGTCGATAAAGTTGAACAAAAATACTTTCTTTTAGTTTTAGATTTTTAACTTAAATAATTATTTTAGGGGGGTTTGTTAGGTTTTAATATTATTCCATAGATTTAAAAATATTTATTAACTGTTAGACGTATTTACTCTTAAAGTATTTAAGAGTAATTTCGAGGAAACATTTTAAAAATTGGTAAGCACATATAAAAAAAAATTATAGCGCAAATAAAAAAAAAGGATTAATACTAAAACATATTCTACTTGATTCAATAAAAAAGTAGAGCTATTAAAATTTTTGTAAAAAGTAACTAGAAAAAAATTACTTAAATAATAACAATTGTTTTTTTGTTAAAAGTTACCGAAACTCAACGAAGCGTGCTTAATAACAGCTGCAGAAAAATAGAACGTTAATAGTTTTTCGAATAATTTTTAAGAATAATTTTTTCGCTGAAATATGTCTTTTATACCTATAAGATTTTTATTCTAATTTTTTATTTTACCAAAAATAAAATTCCTTGTAAACATTAAAAATCTATTCAAAACGTTCGTTAAAGTTTTTTAGTAATAATGATTGTGCTTATCAACCGCTTTATGAAAACAAATCGTACAATATTAAAATTTCCAGTTTATTAATCGTTGACTTTTTAAAAAGAAAAAATAATTATTTGAAAAACTTTAAATTACATATTTGTGAAAATCAAATATTAGCATATTTTATAATCTTTTTTAAATGTTTAGTTATATTTTTTATTCGTTTAGTAGATAAAACGCGCCAAACGTCGAGAAAACAAATCAATGTTTTTACATTTAAAAAAATGAAACATTTCAAAACATTTTTAAATAATAACATTTCTACATTAATGATTTAAAGTAGTTTTGCGGTAATTAAATTGGTGCAGTTAATGTCAATAAATATGAAAAGCAAATAAAAAGAATTTAATGACGTCAAAAATCACGTCGTGCTTATGCGTCGCGCAGTTTTTATTCATCACAAGGCCTGATATTACCAACAGCAATATAATCAAATAAATGACGCAATATCGCATAATTTTTTTCGTTTCACTTCCTGAACTTCATGCAAAGCAAATTGAGACGAAATATCTTCTAACCAAATAAAAATACTGTTACTAATTTTATACGAGTAATTAATAGAAAACAATTTTTTATCAGAGTCTTGATTGAGATAATAAATATTCATAATTTATAAACATTAAATAAATGGCGCAATAACAATTTATAGCAACGAACCAGCATAAAATATTTGAGGTTTTAAATATTTTTTTAAATGTTAAAAATAGACAAAAAAAACTAAACAAATAGTTAAAAAATTTCGAATAAAAATCGATAAAAATATTTCCAGAGTTTCATTTGTTAAAAGTCTGCCAGGACGTCAAATACTAAAACTTTTATGAATTAAACTTTATGTGCATTCTTCCCAGCAGAGATATATTTCGCCCATAATTCACAATTGTTTCTCAGCTTATTTTTTTCTTCCGGCGTAATCCATGGATCCTTTTCTTCACAGTACCTCATCAATTTTTGTGTAATGAAATTGTTGCATGCTTTTTCATATTTGATAATTAGTAAATTGTAACATGGATTGACTGATAGATCTTTGAATAATTCAACCTAATTTATTGCACTTATGTGCTTATTTATTTCTGCATAATTTTCTGTCTCCTTCAACATTTTCATTAATGCGGCTAACAGTTGTAATTTTGCCTCCTGCATGATAATATTCATATTGAATATGGGGATAGTTAAAATCACCAATGAGAGCCATGTTTAGCATCCTAATCTGACAAGAGAGTTATTTCCTAAAGTTATTGATTCGTTTATTAACCTGTTTGTCTCAAGTATACTAGATGGAGGCCGATAAATAAATCCCACAAGGAATGCATCCTCATTTGTATAGATAACACACCAGATTTGTTCAATATTTTGTAAGTTTAGCTCATAAATGTTGACATCAGAGGCTTTAATATCTTTGCATATGTATAAACAAACCCCTCCCCCAGGTTGCTTTGAGTTACGGTCTTGTCTGAATAACTGGTATTCGCTTAGCATTGCTATAGAAGTTTCAGTAAATTTTGTTTCCAATATTGCTATCACATGGGGTAGCACAGATTCTTTTTTTGCATCTTTTAGTCGGGCAGCTAGTTCAAACTGTTTTTTGTCAAGAAAGTTTGCATTCATTGACCAAAAGATTATTCTATTTATTGACTGCAGTTCCTTCTGACACTTGTGAGATAAATCTTTTATTTTATTGGATTGTTTTGGGTGAGGTTTTTTGTGCACAACTGTCAGTTGTGTTGGCTTTTTTAATTGATGTTTTGATAATGGCCTCATTAATGAAGACTGTTCGTTGCAAACGCTATGATTCAACTGCATTAATTGGTTTTACTTTTTCTTGGCGCCTATGGATAATGTAACGAGAGGGCTTTGTCCAAGAGATCTAATTCAATTTATTTGTTGTTCAATCGTTTTTTTCATTGTTCAGCTCATTAAAACTTGCTTGCTGTGCTTCTGTTCTATCTTCTCTAACAAATATATTTTTATACTCTTCTCTTGAGTGTCGTCGTGAAACTTTCAAAGCTCTTTCTCAGTCATCTGCTATATTAAAGGTGACTTGGATAATTGGTGGATTTTTTCCTGGTGCAAGCTTGATTACGTGTTTACTGGTTCTGAATATCCTGATCTTGGCTATTTTCAAATCTGATGCTCCTATCGTATTAAAAAAATTGAAACGCTATCCAAGCCTTCCCAGGAAAGATGTGCGGTTTTTCATCTCGTATGACCACACACGATTATATAACGTTCAGAAAACATGAATACGGCCGTTTGCAAGTTTTATAACAATGCTGAAAAAGTTTCAAAAACAATAAAAACAAAACTAACAAAATAAAAAGAGATTGAAATAGAAAAAAATAAAAACAAATTAATAATTTAAATAATTTGTGTACTGTTTTTATTTTTGTTTCTTTATAGTTACATTCAGCAACAAAATTAGATAAGGCAAAGCAAAAAAAAAACAGTTTGAAGTCTACAATAAAAAGAATGATTTTTCTTTACTTAATTTTTTTTAAGAGGATAGCCAAAATACAAATTACAATGTGTTTGTAAAATTTATTTGTATAATTTTAATGTAACAACAAGGGTTGAATTAAGCAAATGCAAAACACAAAATCTGGAAAAATTTCTAGTATTCAAAATATTAGTTTATACAAAACCGTGTTTCTTGTTATTAAGGGGAGAATCAACTTAAATTTGTTAGCGAAAAAATAAAAAATAAAACAATAAACTTACGATTACAAAAGTAATAACACTCTAGTCACTAACTGCATTACAAAAGTAATAACACTATAATAGTGTTATTACTTTTATAACGCACTTATAACTTTTAAAATTCATTCTTTGTTCAAGCAACATTAGTATTCCCAAATTTTAATTGAAGTAGAAAAATATCTAGAAGAATAAAGTGGATGTTCAAATAATATTAAAACTAAACTTATAAAAATGTGACAAACAACTTTATGAAAACGTATCGTATTAAAAGTTTAGCATTATAAAAAACGTTACTAATGGACCGTAAAAACGCGCGTTAATTTTAAAATTAACTAATAAAAAATTTTTATTGGTTGATTTTAAAATTAACTTGCATTTTTACATAACATTTTTCATAATGCAATACTTTTCATAAAGTACTTTTTTATAACGTTGTTTAAGTGATCTGTGAAAGTTCCTAAAATTTTTAATAATACTTGAATATCCGCTTTATTTTTTCTAGATGCTTTTCTACTTAAATAAATGTTTGGAATTAATAATGTTGTTTGAATAAAGAATGAACTTTAAAAGTAATAAGTGCTTTATAAATGTAATAACACTATTATAGTTTTATTACTTTTATAATACAGCTAGTGACTAAAGTGTTATTACTTTTGTAGTTGTA